AGATTACAGAGAGGAAAGTGGATGAGAAAATGACCCCAGGGGGGGGGGGAGAAAAGTGACAAACGCCGTCACCACTAATTGTGGTGCCAATCCAAGAAAGAGGAGACACGCAGTGCAGCCTGCACAGAGGCAAGTCGTATCCAATCATTTGAAGCAAAAACGATGTGAAACACCATTATCCCCGTCACGCACCCATAAACCGGGAGCAAAAAAAAGCAAAAAAAAGAGCGACACGTGCAAAACCGAGTGCTCCACCGAAAACAACAGTTGAGCATAACAATCCACGTGTTCTTTGCGTCCGCATGCCGTTCTCGGTCCGCCCACACGTAATCGTGAGATTGGGAAACAACGACGGGGGCAGCCACCGCAGGGGTGACGGAGACAAACAAATGAGGGTATATCTTCATGGCACCACTGGAAGAGAGTTCCGCATGCACAAAGAGCAAAGGGGAAAAAGAAAACATGTTTTTACTGTTCGAAACCCAGAGAGATGAAGCATCAACGGAGTGATGAAAGTAACAAGACACTCCACTGAGAACATTTGGCCTACAGCCTCATCCACAGCTTGTACCCGGTCTCAGGAATAAATGGCGTACCCACTAGTCGCTCCAATATCACTATTTACCGGAGAACGGGGTGGGCCAACTACTCGGGGTCAGGGATTTCACTGGTGTTAAGCCCCGCCACCACCTTTCCCCCGTTGCTCGTCGTGATAGATGTGCTGCCCTGGACCGGCAGAGCGCCGGGTGATGGTAGGTTCTCACCGTGCAAATGTGTACTGGTGTTGTCGGTCATCGGGGCAGGAGTAGTGGGGGCGACCGATAGAATTGGGATTATGCTTCCCCGCTGCAAATATGGAACCACCTCCGTCGCCACCGCAATGTTGTTTCTGTTCAAGAAGACTGTCTTCACCTCGTTCTGGTTCAACTGACGGTTGTAAAGAAGAACATTAGTCACCGTCACGTGACTGTCGGACCTCATTCTCCGGCTCCCATACCCGCCAATATAGAAGTGCGAAACCTTAATCCCTTCTTTTGATATACCCGGAAGCTTCTTCCCCGATTCCTCCAAAGGCTCACCGTCAACATAGACAGAGCCCACCCCGTCCTGGTACGTGAGAACCACCTGGTACGTTTTATTCGGCACCAACAGCTGCGTAGACGATACATGACGCTTACCATATATTGGTATCCACCGCTTGTTGCTCCCGTACGAAAGCCCGAGAAGCTTGTGCTCCCCAGAGTCGTCCAGACTCACACCCAACAGCGGCGTCGCGCTGTCGTCTGCCGGAAGTTCATTAACTGACACCGTCGCCACCAGGGTGAACATGTAGTTTGCGAAATGGTAAAGCTGGTTCTGGCCCTGCCTACCCACTGGCCACTGCGCACCGCCTCCACCTCCCTTGAACTTAAAACCACCAGGAACCTTCTCTGCATTGATCACGTTGGCCCCCATGCAGTGGTAGACATCGTGCCAGACGCCCTCTTCAACACTCTCTGACAAGAACCCAACAAGTCCGGCGGTTGGGAAAGGAGCGCCACATCCATTCTCACGGGGTGGAGACTGAGGATCCGTGGGAGTACAAATGTGCGAGAAGTAGTTATCCTGCGCCACCCAAGACGCCACCACTGACTTGATCAGATTTAGTTCATCAATCAGGCGCACAAAGACGATACTATAAATCTCTTGAAGATTAGTTTCGTGCAAACAATACAACTTGTCATCCTTGTAGAGCAGTGAACTGTAAGCGGCATTCTCACTCCCAACGGAAATCTGACCAACATCAAATATGCGATTGTTGTCCGTCAGCCACAGGTGGAGTCGGTCGCGCTCCCACCTCCCCTTGAAATTCAATGGATGTGTAAACAACATCACACGCTTACCTCCAATCGTTACGGGGATGAAGCTGCTCTGGCTGCCGGGTCCTTCCCGTGTTGGTGAGTTGCCCCACACCCGGGAGAGTGTCCCGACAACCTCCCTCCATGTCTCCCCCATGTCTGTGGACTCGTACACCTTGCGATAGCCGACGTCAACGCGAGTGTTCATGATGAGCTTCCCTTCCCACTCAAGGACAACGGGCTCAGTACACCCGGGATCCGTCATCCCGTTTGCAAACCTCCATGTTTTGCCATCATCAGCGGATGTGATAACGAGAGAAACAACATCATTCCTCATGTTCATAACTTGTATGGGGTAAACAAGAATACCTTCTGTCGTCGTAATGGCAGTCCCCACACCTCCGAGGAACTGGCGCATCGATGACCCCGCAACGTCACCAGTAACCCTATATACCAATGGTGCGGCGTTTCCCCATGTAATGGTTGCAGTTACATTGCCGCTGATGTTTGTCTTTTTCACCTCACCAATAGCCAACAGCGGTTCCCAGTCCTTGCCTTTGTGTTGGGTCCAGTAGGTCTTCGACCACTTGTAGCTTCCCACGAGGATGTAGATCTTGTTCCCCTTCACGATCACCGTGGGGTCCACTACACGAGAAATAAGACTCACACGACTGTTCTTCACTGCGATTTGCGTTTCCCACGTCTCACCATTGTCCACACTGAACTTTGCCACTGTCTCGATGAAGGAATTGTCGTTGGACGTCGTATAGCGAGCGTCAGCTATGGCAACCATCACCCCTTCCACCTCCACAAGACAGGGAATACGGAACGAATGCACCACCCTCTGAATGACAGTCCCGTCGTCCTGTTCAAAGGGCACCGTCGACTTCATCCTCTCAAA